CCCGCCACAACACTGGCTATTTTTTGTTGCAGTTGTCATTGTTTAGCTGGCCCAGGCCGGGTCAAACCCACTAGTCTTGGTCGGTGTGTGTGGCTAGCGCCATAACCACTATGCAACGGGCACCAAGCCTCAAACACTCCATATACAAGATATGTTACTGAATTAACACTGACTGTAGCTCTAAATCCCACCTGAATAATTCCATACTTTCAGAAACTTGCAAATCCTAAATGTGGTCAAGCAAAGTTTAGGTTAAACTTTCAACTTAAATAAAAATGAAACAGATGTCAAAAACTTTTTTTTCTTTTGAGACCAAGTCTCATTATGTCACCCTCAGTATAGTGCCATGGCGTCACAGCTCACAGCAACTTCAAATTCTAAGGCTTAAGCGATTCCCTTGCCTCAGCCTCTCGAGAAACTGGGACTCCAGGCACCTGCCACAATGTCCAGCTATTTTTTTGTTGTAGTTGCCATTTTGTTGTTTAGCTGGCCTGGGCCAGGTTTGAACCCACCAACCTAGATGTGCATGGCTGGTGCCGTAACCACTGTGGTATAGGCGCCAAGCCTTATGTCAAAAACTTTCAGTGTTTTTCATGTTAACCGGCTATTTTAAGTAGAAAAATTGCTATAGTAATGTGAATTTATTAGTGGAGGGATGCTGAAATTAATAAGTCTGAATCATCTCTCACCTAAAATAAAGTAAAATGCTCTTTACTCCTTACCTTTTTTTTTTTTTTGAGACAGAGTCTCATTCTGTTGCCCTAAGTAGAGTGCCATGGCCTTATAGCTCACAGCAACCTCAAATTCTTGGGCTTGAACAATCCTCTTGCACCACACGTAGCTAGTTTTTCTATTTTTAGTAGAGATGAGGTCTCACTCTTGTTCAGGCACATCTTGAATTCCTGAGTTCAAGCAATCCACCTGCCTTGGCCTCCCAGAGTGCGAGGATTACAGGGTGCGCCACTGAGTCTGGCCCACTGCCCACTAGTTTTACTGTCCCTAGTTCCACACCCCATTCCCACTTCTACTTCCCAGATTTACTCTCTGCAATGTAGCTAGGGTAGGAATGTACAAATAAAAAACATAATTTTACCGTGTCACTTCTTGCTAAGACTCTATTCAAAGGACAAAGTCTGTATGATAGCTGAGATATACAAATCCTTCACGATCTGATGTTTGCCTGCACCCACTCTTGCCTCATTGCCAGTCGTCACCTGGCTAATTCCTACTTAATCCCTTAGGACAGCAGTTTCCCAGCCCGTGGGTCGTGACCCATAGGAACTGTATTAAAGGGCCACGGCATTAGGAAGGTTGAGAACCACTGCCTTAGGATGACTGTTCCAATAGTAGACTAGAGCCTAGGTTAGCAGAGAGGTGCTCTGGGTTTAAATTCCCTCCCTCCCAATTACTAACTCTGACTTTGCTTACCTGTAAGACCTGGATAACAAAAGAAACTGTTATGTACAGTTGTACTGCGAATTATGTACAACTTAGTATTGGTAAAGTCTTTAGCAGTCTCTGGCACGTAGTGAGGATTTACTAAATATTATCTTTTATTACCCTGTATCTCTTCTTTGAGCTCTCTGTATACCTGATCACAGCATTCATCACCTTATGTTATAATTAGCTATTTAGTAACTAGTCTGACACCTAACCAGTGGTTTTCAGGTGCTCTCCCTGTCTCCTCCCACCATATATACCCAGCATATCTGAGCTACAAATTGTTCCTATGTGGCCCACTCTGGCAAGTGAGTCTCCCTCAAAGAGTGGTCAATCCTGGTTGGGTTATGCGTTCAACTAACGGTTCTTGACAGGAAATGATTTTTGCCTCCCAGGGAACATTTGGCAATGTCTGGAAACATTTTTGGTTGCTGTAACTGGGGGGAAGCACTACTGACACCTAGTGGTTCAAAGCTGTGATGCTGCTAAATACTATTGCAAATGCGGGAAACAGTTTCTCTATAATAAATTAATTATGTGGTCCAAAATGAAAATGGTGCCAAGGTAAAGAAACTCTGAACTAAATAATAGATCCATGAATTACTTTATCACCAGCATAAATTTGACATCAGGCAAATCAAAAGTATTTCATAAGTATCTCCATGAAAAAAAATGAGCTGTAGACACCCGTAGCTCGGTGGTTGGGGCACTGGACACATACACCAAGGCTAAAGGGTTCGAACCTGGCCCAGGCCTGCTTAAACAACAATGACAACTACAACAAAAACATACCAGGAGCCTGTAGTCCCAGCTACTTGGGAGGATGAGGCAAGTGAATCATTTATGCCCAAGAGTTTGAGGTTGCTATGAGCTGTGACACCACAGCACTCTACTGAGGGCAACATAGTGAGACTCTTGTCTTTAAAAAAAAAAAAAAGCTATAGTTCTAGTACATACTGTTAAGAATTAAGCCACTCCAATTTATATCTAGTACGTATAAACACAGAGAAAGTAGCTAATCCTTGCTACTTTCTATAAAGATCATCAATCATAATACTTTTATCTTAGTTTTTTTTTTTTTTTTTTTTTTTTGAGACAGAGCCTCAAGCTGTCCCCCTGGGCAGAGTGCTGTGGCATTACAGCTCACAGCAACCTCCAACTCCTGGGCTCAAGCGAGTCTCCTGCCTCCGCCTCCCAAGTAGCTGGGACCACAGGCGCCCGCCACAACGCCTGGCTATTTTTTGGTTGCAGCCATCATTGTTGTTTGGCGAGTCCGGGCTGGGGATTCGAACCCACCACCTTAGGTGCACATGGCTGGCGCCTTAGCCGGTTGAGCTATAGGCGCCAAGCCATCTTAGTGTTTTAATAATAAATACATCACTTTAAAAATCCTTTCCATTTAATCTCTCCTAAACAAAATAATGCTACCTACTACAGGGCACCAACTAGGAAAGCAAACCAAAACACTTAGGGTTCTTTAACTAAAAAAACCTGAAAATGCCACCAGGCACACACTGTCTCTACATGGCAACCAGAGGTAGATGCTGGCACCTGCACAGATGTTTTGAGTACAATTCATCAACCATTGGAATTCAAATGAGTGCAGAGGTGGAAAGTAGCTGAGTTTCACTGAGAAATGAAAAAAATTCCAATGTCAAATGTCATGAAGAAAGCTGATGTTCCTTTCTGCTAACATATAAAGGACTCGGCAAGGGCAATACATATAGCATTTAAAAAAAAATACATGTAGCATTGCTTCAAGTACCTGCTGCTACCCCAAATTACAAAATGTCTTCTGTTTTTAAATAAACAATCATGAACTTGGAAAAATATGTAGAAAAGATACTAGAAAGTGTAAGGGGGAATAAACTGGCAGAGTTGTCATTGGTTACCTACCATAAGGGATTTTAAAAATGATTAAAACTTGGAATGCTTTTGTAAGATGAAAAAAGCAATCTATAGACTAACCAAAACTGACTTTAAAACATGAAGGCTGGACAATATTCTAATTCACTGTTTTGGGGCCTATCTTCCCACTAAGACTGTGAACATATTCAATTCATCTTTGCACATTTAGCAAAAATCCAATACCTGGCATATACATGGTTTAATATATTTATTGACTGGACATATGAATTATTTGAGGATTCTTCCACCTGTAAATGTCTCTTCTAGTGAGACATGTCCTTTTATGGAATAATTATCCATTTTGCCTTCTCTGTGTTTAATATTCTAGTAAATCAAATTCATTAGCAAAATGAATGCAGTGTTCAGATGAAGTATACCAGATAGCAGATCTCAGACACATTTTACCCAGCCACTCCCTATGAACCCCCCCTCCTACCACCACCAAAAAAGGGTCAGTATCCCCACCTCCTGCCTAATTATAACTCTCTCATTTCTTACCTTCCTCAGGGGCAGCTGAAGCTCCTTCAGGTAACACAGGCTGTAACTCCCCTGTTTCAGAATTATTTTCCAAATCAGTCATCTGCATTCCTTCCAAATGACCTCCTTTAGCATTAGCCCTCAAAAAGGGAGAAAACAACTTGATATTTTTAAACTTATATAACTACTATGTGTCAGAATGATCTGTATTTTCCTTTCTTAGAACTGAGCAGCATACTGCAAATAGTGTATGCACTGGTGTTTAATAGCAAAGTTCATATTTTATCTTAAAATATCTCTAATAATATTTCTCTAAAGATTCAGAGTAAAAAGTTATAAAATGATGGACTACAGCAACGTCAATATCCTGTTTTTGATATTGTACTAAAGTTTTGTACAATGTTATCCTAAGGGAGAACAGGTTACGGTACACAAGATCTCTCTGTATTATTCCTTAATTGTGCGAATCTATAATTATCTTAAAAATTTCAGTTGAAATATAAATAAAAGCTCTAAATAATATGTTCTAATAGGGAAAGACTTGAGATATACTATTAAGAAAACATCTTTTGTATTTAAAAAAAAGCTACACAGTCAAAGTTGTTTATACATAAGGCAGCATATACAAAAAAGAACAGCATGAATATGTGTGGGGCAAGGTTGCAAAAATAGGCAGATGGGAAATAAAGACGGAGAATATTTCACTTCCTATTTTTTCTTTTCCTTCAATTTTGAACCACTTATCATTTGCCCTTAAAACTTTATGCTTGTATTATTTTAAATGAGGCAGGTAAAAAAAAAGACACAAGCTGGATAATGTATATATGAACTAAATTGGCCGATACAATCAAATCTAAAATGAGGAATACAACAGCTAAGAGCTACAGTTATTTGTACAGGATTTTACACTCTACAAAAAACAAATCCATGTTCATATACATTTCATTTTTATGATTAAAGGCAGATATACAATCTCTATAACAAATAAAAATATAAAAGTTAGCCTTAGCTTTAACTTTAAAAGAACATGTACACCAGGCTAGGAAATGGGGAAAACAAGATACTTTCTAGTGATTTTTTTCAACACCTTTCTATAGCTCAAACTTTAGCAACAACCAAAAAAACTAAACCACCAGCTGCTCTTCTACATTTGTAATTGAGTCAGACATTGAAACTATATAAAATTAAGTAAAAAAAATTTTTTTGGAAGACAGTCTCACTTTGTCATCCTTCGTAGAGTGCTTTAGTGTCACAGTTCACAGCAACCTCAAACTCAAGAGATTCTCTTGCCTCAGCCTCCCAAGTAGCTGAGACTACAGGCGCCTGCTACAATGCCCAACTATTTTTAGAGACAAGGTTTCGCTTTGGACCAGGTTGGTCTTGAACCTGTGAGCTCAGGTAATCCACCTGCCTCCGCCTCCCAAGTGCTGGGATTACAGGTGTGAACCACCTCGCCTGGCAAAATTAAGCAAATGTAACGGATGCTAATCTTTCTCTAAATTTAAAGTTCTTTTCAAAGTCTCCAAGGTAAAACTATTCCACTGCTTCAATTTAGAGACATATTTAATATCCATAAAACAGAGCAGCAGATGGATATTAATGGGTCATCTAGCACATCCATAGACAATACATTCCATAGTCACTCTACCTTTTGAATGAATAGAAGTTTTATTGCATGGCTGAGATTTGAATTTATGTTTCCTGGGAGAGAGATAATTGTATCAACTACCACACACCTTTTGGGAAATCTCAGCTATGAGTTTTGAGGATATTTTTCATAAGAAGAGAGAAAAAGGGCCAGATGAAACCAAAACAGCAGTGTTAAAATTGCTGCGTTTTGTTTCATACAAAATATATGTAAAGACCTGTGATGCATAATACAGCTCAGCACAAAAGTCTTTGAAAAATGGGACATTTCAGTGGGACAGATGAACAAAAAAGGTGACATAAAAATCTTATAAGGCAGAGTTCACACAAAGTTGGACATCACTGTTATTCTTTTCTTTTCTTTTTTTTTTTGACCAGGGTTGGGTTTGAACCCGCCACCTCTGGCATATGGGGCCAGCGCCCTACTCCTTTGAGCCACAGGCACTGCTCCCATCACTGTTATTCTAACTCAGCGGTTCTCAACCTGTGTGTCACAACCCACAGGAACTGTACTAAAAGGCTGCGGCATCAGGAAGGTTGAGAACCACTGTTCTAACTTCAGGGAAAACAAGCTGATTTATGTAAACTGAACTTCCAATACTATTACCCCATTAAAAAGAAAAGGTAAGGAATCAGATACTTTAAAGGTTACCCTTTAATGCAATAAATGAATTTTCTACCCATTAAAAATTAACAAAGGAGAAATTAATTTTGTTTATAATGTAGAACAAAGCTATTATTCTATTACATAAACAAAAGAGCTTAATTTACCCCAAGGTGACCATTTTCCTTCTTTTATCAATAGTAGGTAAGCCACTGAAAACTGCAACCACAACGGCATCGGAATCTAAAGCTTTACAATGCCGGTCTTCAGTTTTTGGCAAAATATCACCAATACTGCTATGTATCAAGGCTCGAGGAGAACTGTGCCGGCTCCCAGTCTGAGAGCTTCCTGGAGAACCTTCAAAAAAGGAAGATAAATATTCAGAAAAGCAAATAAACACTAAAGGTCTCAATTAGGTTACAAAATCCACTATTACATTTTAAAACTGTGAAAATTTCAAAAACAAATTTAGAATATATTCTAGTCTTTTTGAAGATAGGTATTCAAAATTAAGGAGTAGGCTTGGCACCTGTAGCTCAGCAGCTAGAGTGCCAGCCACATACACCAGAGCTGGCGGGTTTGAATCCAGCCTGGGCCTGCCAAACAATAATGACAACTATAACAAAAAAATAGCTGGGCATTGTGGTGGGAGCCTGTAGTCCCAGCTACTTGGGAGGCTAAGGCAAGAGAATTGCTGAAGCCTAAGAGCTTAAAGTTGCTGTGAGCTGTGACGCCACTGCACTCTACCTAGGACAACATAGTGAGACCGAGTAGCTGGGTGCACTGGCTCACAACTGTAATCCTACCACTCTGGGAGCCCAAAGCAGGTAGACTGCTTGAGCTCAGTAGTTCAAGACCAGCCTGAGCAAAAGTTCAAAACACCATCTCTACTAAAAATGAAAAAACTAGCCAAGCATTGTGGCAGGCACCTGTAGTCCCAGCTACTTGGGAAGTTAAGGTAAGGGGATCCTTCAGCCCAGGAATTTGAGGTTGCTGTGAGCTATGGTGCCACTAGCACTCTAGCCTGTGAGCTGAGATTCTGTTTCAAAAAAAAAAAAAATCAAGGAACAGGCTAATGCAGTCTAATGACACATTCTGTTCTGAGATGAAGAAATTCTGAAACAGAACTTCACCACTTTTAATACATTTCAATGTCTAAAGCTCCACCACAACATTAATTTCTGATAATAGACATTTGCCCACTGAAATTCCATTCTGAATTCCCCAAATTTACCTTCAGACAGAGCCTGACAATCTCCCTTTGAACGATTATTTTCTCCAGAGTCCACCGCTCTTCGAAGTGACAAACTACCTGCTATACTGGACCGAGCTGACTTGGGTGAATTACTCTTCTTAGCTGTGGCTGTAAAGACATTTTAAAACATTTTTTAATATGATCAAGTACACACAGCACAAAATTTACTAGTCAGAAAAAGCTACTTGGGAGGCTGAGGCAGGAGGATCACTTGAGCCCAAGAGTTTCAGCTATGATGACATCCCTGCACTCTATCCTAGCAATAGAACAAGAACCTGTCTCCAAAAGGAAAAGAGAAGAAAAAAAATAAACAAATGATCAAATGATCTTGAGAATGGTGCCAAAACCATTCAACAGGAAAGTCTTTTCAATAAATAATGTTGGAAAATTGGATATCCGCATGCATTAGATTAAAAACTAGACCCCTATCTCCTCACCTTATTAAAAAAAAACTCAAAAAGGATTAAAGACATAAATGTAAGATCAAAAAAAATAACCATAAGAAAATAATTGGAGAATGGGGCAGCGCCTGTAGCTCAAAGGAGTAAGGCACCAGCCCCATATGCCAGAGGTGGTGGGTTCAAACCCAGCCCCGGACCAAAAAAAAAAGAACAGAATTGGAGAAATGCTGCAGGACATAGTTCTGGGAAAAGATTTTATGAATAAGACATTAAAAGCATAGACAACAAAAGCATAACTAGACAAATGGGATTATATCAAAGTCAAAACCTCTGCACAATGAAGGAAAAAAATCCATAGAGGGAAAAGACAAGCTACAGGCTCAGCGTCTGCAGCACAGTGGTTATGGCGCCAGCCACACGCACCGACCCTGGCAGGTTCGAGCTCGGCCTGGGCCAGCTAAACAATGACAACTGCAACAAGAAAATAGCCGGGTGTTGCGGTGGGGACCAGTAGTCCCGGCTACTTGGGCAGCTGAGGCAAGAGAATTGCTTAAGTCCAAGAGTTTGATATTGCTATGGGCTGTGACGCAACGGCACTCTACTGAGGACAACATAGTGAGACTCTGTCACAAACACAGAATATAAACACAGAAAATAACAAGTGTTGGGTGGCGCCTGTGGGTCAAAGGGGTAGAGTGCCGGCCCTGTAAGCTGGAGGTGGCAGGTTCAAACCCAGCCCCAGCCAAAAAAAAAACTGCAAAAAAAAAAAGAAAGAAAGAAAATAACAAGTGTTGGTGAAGATGCAGAGAAACTGAAAGCCTTATGCCCTGCTGGTGGGAATATAAAATAGTGTGGCTACAGCTTGGCACCTGTAGCTCAGTGGCTAGGGCACCAGCGACATGCACAGGGGCCAGTGGATTCAAACCCGGCCCAGGGCCTGCCAAACAAGGACAACTATAACAAAAACATAGCCAAGTATTGTGTTAAATAATAGGTTTGGCTGAAAGTCCTAACTACTCGGGAGGCTGACGCAAGAGAACTGCCTAAGCCCAAGAGCTGGACATTGCTGTGAACTGTGACTCCATGGCACTCTACCAAGGGCAACATAGTGAGACTCTGTCTCAAAAAAATAAATAAATAG